CCGAAGCTTAAGATACACTTGCAGATAGATGCATTCTGTGCACTTAATACAAAGAAGATATCTCTGCTCTGCCAACATATACCTAAGTGATGCGCTACCCCTTGCAAGAGTATTACAAACATACAAATTGCATCATGCACTGCATTGCATTTGACGTTGATGTCAAATGATGATCAATGTTGCAGCTGACGATGATGATAATCACGAATGTTAATGAAGTGCACTTGAAATCTTTCCATATGCAGATCTTAAGCTGCTTCGTTTGTAGAGCATGTTTCCTCATCAACTCATCAACTACTCAAAGCAGAAGCAGACGAGCAGTCGAGCAGCGGAGTAAACAAAAAAGATGAGGGTGTACTGTATTCAATCATGGGTACAAACATTTCCTTTTAGCTTTTGTTGGCTCTCCCCCAACTCCATTGTGTAATGCACAGAGCCAAAAGAAACAGACTCTGTAATGAGCCGATGGCAGCAGCAGCAGCTGAAAAACTGCTGGTTGTACGGGTAAAATATAATGTTGTTAAGGTAGGGCGAGTACTCGTACTCGTACTCGCACTCGACTTGTGCTTGGCTTAGAAACTTTACATTGGCTAAGGTTGTTGTCTGGAGAACTTTGAACTGCGCATTTGGTTAGATAACGAAGGAGGTTCTGTTGGGGAAGAGTCTCTGAGGGGAAGCTTGACTGATTTTTCTCCACTTTCCATGTTTAGTAAGCATAGTTTCTGCATTACCCTGCATCATTCCTTCTCCCCGGTGATTAGCTAAAGTGTCAGCTTTGCATTTGCCAGCAGGGTATCCCGTACTCGACTACCAATCCAAACACTTTCGCTTTCTTGTTTTGTTTCAAGTTTTCTGTATGTAGCAGTAGTAGCTGCTGTCGTTGGTGTTGCTGCCTTTCAGGGTGTTGGTGGTAGGAAATCATGTGCAAAGTCACATGACGATGACGATGACGATCACGATGACGATGACTCTACGTGCCTTTTGAGTAATTGCAGCAAGACATGGATGCCTATGAAAGGGTGTTAGCGGGCACACACAAACACATACAGATGTGTACAGATGTTGTATGTTGTATACACCCAGCTAGTTGCCTGTCTGCATATTTGGCCAGGCCAGTGGCTTCGAATTGTTGATAATGAAAACGACGCTCGTAAATTGGTCGTCGCTGTTCGTCGCATGAGTAATGCGGCAGTCGATGGCTTCCGCAATGAGTGCTGTGTGGGTGCCACAGTAACCCATTTGTACATTCGTATAAGCCCTCTTCAGAGCCATAAATAATTTGCCATAAAGTATCTATTAGCTGCTGCCGCATGATTTGGCAATTGGCGTCGCATCGCATCGCATCGCGTCGCCTCAAGTTTGTTGCCCAAGTCTTTTGTTTGCCCGCTCGCTGATTGCGCAAAAGCGATTGCTGTGCGGGTGCGCTTGCCCGATGATTTCCTCTGTCTGGCGAGCTCTGAGCCGCTTACGCTGTGTGCTGTGGGCAGGGTGGGGGTGCCTTATCTAAGGCCACTTACCGCCTTAATCGATGCGATTCGATCCGATCCGACAATTAATTCGTGAGCTACCGTACTATCAGCACTTGCAAATCGAACATAAATTGCTAATGGAATTTATGCAAAAATCCCCACTCCTCCCAGCATAATTGGCTGCACAATCTATTAATTAAATATTTCCATTTACAATGATATATTGTAAGCCACTGTCGATCGTTCGCTGATGAGCTTATGCAACGCCCCGACGACTGATTTTTCCCAGAGAAAAGTTAACTATTTTAAGGACTGGCACGCGTTCATCAGCTCTTTTTGCCAAGTGGTTATTGACTGGTTTGACCTGTTACATCCCCCGCCCATACTCGTATGTGCCATTTGGTATTTTTACTGTTCTGCCTCACGTGTTCCGTAATTGGTAAGCGATCGATGGGGCATATGACTCAACTGGCGATGATCAAAATGCCGTAAACAAAATGCAAATACTCCCGAGTAATCCCTCCATTCGTTCGCTTACAATGGCAATTGTGTGGCCTTTTTATATTCAATCAAATCACTCACTCAAAGCCCATCATAAGTGTTCGAAACGTACACTTTATGGGAGTTGCAAACACCTCGAATCAGGTTTAGATCTGACCGATAATCAAGTGCAGTTTTTATGAGCGATAATACCCCAGAACATGAACTCTCCCTTGGGGATCATCGGAGATTTCCATACTCGCTGCTCGTCGCTGTTTCCGCCAACTGAGGTGACCAAATGTCACGAAACAGGTTCAAAAAAACCTCCGATAATTCCAAGAATTTGCCCATGTGTGAGGACAGATCACATGCCAACAAATTCCAAAAAAAATTCACCGATATAAGAAGCTCCACTTCCGTTTAATGTTAAGCAACTCGCCACAGTTTGATTTGTGATAAAAAAAAACTTTCCATTTCAAAGTTTGATTTATTTAATTGTTGAAAACAAATTGAGATACAGCAACAAACAAACAACAAACAGCAAACAGCAAAGAGCAAAGAAGAAATGATAACTATTGGTGTCATAATGCTGTTAAATAACGCATACGCCGCATGTGCCGTGCATTTCTATTTGCCGTTTTTTTTTTTTTGCTCCATTCATTCGTTTTTGTTTGTTTTTATGGGTTGCCATCCACCGGTGGCGAGGGCAGGCTGACACACATTTTTGCATTTGAGTTTTAGTGGCGGGTGACATAAATACCAGGCAGACCCACAGCCCCTGCCGGACGCGCTCCAAGCCGCCAGTGAAAAAAAAAGCCATAAACAAACAAATGTAAATTGCCAGAGCTGCTCCTCCTCGATGCCACTTGTCTGGGCTTTCGCTTTCAGCTTGAGTTGGAGTTCAGTTTTTGTTTTCTTCAGTTTTTGGGGGCGACGTGACGGCAGTCAAGTTCTGCAAAAGTACAAATAAAATCCGATTACCGCGTGCCAGCGTGCCTGGCAATATATTACTTTAGTGGGCCAATTGGCAATTGCTGCCTGCTCTCGGGATTGGCCAACTGGCATCGACTGGCCCCAATGGGCAGCCGCCACACACATCTGGCTGCTGAATGGGTAATCGCATTGCGAATTATTTTTGGGTAATCAGTTATATGGCAGGCCTTTCTTTTGGGCAAGAATTGTTCGATGAGCGAATGGTATTGCGGGGGGGAATTTTGTAATTTATGTGTTAAGTTAATTTATTTCGGATTGGTGTAAGAGAAATGTACTGTAGAGGGTCTGCCAGTGGCCTAGATTTGGCTTGTAAATTGTGTATCCATATCCATAATGATATAGGACATAATTTGCCAAGGATTCAAATGGTATTTCTGCACGAAACTCATCCATAATGATAGAGGAACTTCAATGATACAAGTACAAATATTTTTGCATTTCTTTGCCATATTATTATGTTAATTTGAAAAGCATACACAAAAATATACAGCATGGAAAACTCATTCGTTGGAACATAAAACATTTCCTATATCTCCATTTGACTACAAATGTGATTTATGTGGCTCTTGAACCCTTGCTTAAGTCTATCTTAAATCACCAAAATTCTACTCCAATCGGTGACTTGAAAGTTAATGCTAAACTCCAACAGCAGACATAAAAATCAACCTTGAATAAATCGCTCAGACTCCCCAACCGAAATACCACAAATGACGTTCAACTCTAATCTTAATTGACGAGAAAAAAAAAGCAAAAACAAAAATAATTAAATTAGAAACCAGTAGAGCAGCTGAATGCGAATATAAATATATATTTCGATATCAGTTTTGCATCTAGAAATTCGGAATATTTATGTATGTTAGGGTTAGAGCCGCCGCGGGTCGGTCATCCGATTGGTGCCATTGGAATGAGCTCATTAGGCAGGTTCCAAAGCGGATCTTCTACGCCCACATCCAGCCTCAAGCCCCCTTAAGTGATTGCTGCATAAGATTGTTGCATAATCTTTCGGTTTTTACCTCAAGCATAAAATTGCAAATTAATGTCAATGGAAGTACGAGTACGAGTACGCGTACGCGTACAAAGGAAACTTCATCACGTGTGTGGCTGGCCGAAATCTATAGAAGAGAACCCATAATGACGGGCCAGTCAAGCAGGCAGGCAGGCAGTCTGTCTGTGTGTCTGTCTGTCAGTCAGTCAGTCAGTCTGTCAGTCAGTCAGTCAGTCAGTCAGTCAGGCATTCAGTCAAGCAGTCAAAGCCATTTGGGGGCAGCACTCCGAACACTTGAACGGTGACGCCGCCGTCATTGTTGATAATTTGAAATTGATTAGTTCGACAGACGCGGTTTCTCATATCCGGTTAGCCAGAATTGCTTGGAGCTAGAGTCTCCCCCCACGTACACACTCCCTGCCATATACACTCGCACTCTCGTCTATAAAGATTTATATTCATAGTTTTCGTTTTCGTTCAGGCATGAGCCTCAATTTGATTATTAATCAAAAGTGAGCAAACGCTGGCGATGTGAGAAAACTGGCAATTAAATGCCGGAAAATGTACTAAGGCTTTCCACACCAAACTAAGTGAATGAATGAAGCGGAGATGTAGCGGCAAATTAATAACACGAGGAATGCATAGCTCTTGGGGTAAACCGAACTGTGATAACAGCCAGAAACAGGGAAAACACTAGGAGATGGGTAAAGCCAGCAGGACAGCAATTATGGGGATGAGTAAGCCAGAAGTTCAAGGAAATACTCCAATACGCCAAGCACTCTGCCAGATGTGAATCTGTGGCGTGAATCAGCATTATACATACAGAAATGTTTGCCAGCCACATTCGAGTGTGAAAACTACTCCTACAGGCCATTGTTTATTGCCTGGGCAAATGATACCGATACTGTTTGTGTGGATTGTGAATAATTATATATGATAGAATCGCATTTGATGATGTATTGTTAGCCGTTTGGATATCCACTTATGATTAACGGCTTGGAGCAACATTTAAAGCTCTTCTTCCTGCAATTGATCTCCCCCTTTAAACCCATTCGCCTCTTCTTCTTTTCCAGCTGCCTGAGTGCGTCCAGCCTGTCGCTACGGATACCCGAGGATCTGGAGAATGGCGCCATCAATGCTTTGAATTCCGAACGTGCCCGCTCCCTGACCCAATGCAATCCGGGCCAGAGCGGCGAGGGCAGCGTGGCCGGCGAGTACGACGTGTGCCCACCGAGCAAGTACCGCCAGCCCCCGGCCGAGTGCAACAATGTGTCGCATCGCAAGTGGGGCGCCCGCGGGGACATCTTCCAGCGCCTGCTCGAGGCCGACTATGCCGATGGCGTTAGCCAGCCGCGCAGCTCTCGCGGCACCCATGCCCTGCCCGATGCGGAGCTGGTGATCGAGCAGCTGCAGCGCCACGTGGAGAGCGAGCTGCGGCATCCGCACATCACTGCCATGCTGCCGGCCTGGGGCCAGCTGCTGGCCAACGACCTGTACGAGGTGGGACAGCTGCCCATCAGCGGCAAGTGCTGCGAGCGTGAGGCGGCCGTCAAGGATCCCAGCGAGCTGCAGCAGTGCTTTGTGCGGGCCGGTCCGGACTGCAAGGAGTACAAGCGATCGGCGCCCGGCTTCGACTCGGAGGCGTGCCAGAAACGTAAGTGAAAAGGGGTCCCAAGCAAGACACTGAGAGGCATCTAATGGATCACCTTTTTCCGCAGACTCGCGCCAGCAGATGAACATTGCCTCGGCCTACATCGATGGCTCCGGTCTGTACGGATCCACGCGCCACGAGTTCGACCAGCTGCGCACCTACATCAGTGGCGGCGTCAAGGTGGAGTCGTGCCGCCACTGCCAGGTGGCCGGTGCCACCGGAGCCCTGCATCGGGCTCTGCTGCAGCAGCACAACAACATTGGCGAGCAGCTGGCGCACATCAATCCGGAGTGGTCCGAGGAGGATGTCTTCCTGGAGGCCAGACGCATCATCACGGCCACCATTCAGCACATCACCTACAACGAGTTCTTGCCACTGGTTCTGGGCCAGGAGACAACGGCCAAGGAGGGTCTGCGCCTGACGGCGGAGAAGCACTCCTCGAACTACTCGAGCTCCGTGCGCGGCGGCATCTACAATGAGTTTGCCACCAGTGCCATGCCCGCCTTCTGGAGCATGTACCCGCCCGAAATGCTGGCCAAGAAGATGTCCGCCCACGAGCTGCTGTCGATTGCCGCCCTGCAAAAGTCCCTCGTTCCCAGCCAAATCAATGCCGAGGGCTGGTCCGAGCTGGCACTGGCTGTGCATCGTGGCCGGGACCATGGTGTTGCCGCCTATGTCCATGCCCTGGACATCTGTGAGCGTCGCTATGCCGATCAGGGTTCCAGTGCCAATGTGACCTTCGAAACCCTCGCGCAAGTGACGAACATTCCCGAGGAGTACATCACCAATTTGCGTGATATTTACCAGTAAGTTTGATGCACTTTAGGTCCCTTAAGGATTCACTTTTAATCGTTGCTTTTTCTTCCCTTTAGAAACGCTGAAGATGTCGATCTGCTGGTGGGCGCTCTGCTCGAGGAGCCTGCTGTGGGAGCGCTCTTTGGACCCACCATCAGCTGCCTGTTGACGCTGCAGTTCGAGAAAATCAAGCAAACCGATCGCTTCTGGTACGAGAACGAGATCCCGCCCTCGTCCTTCACCCTGGAGCAGCTGAAGAGCATTCGCCAGACATCGTTGTCGGGTCTGCTGTGCGGCTCCCATCAAGTGAGCACAGCCCAGTCCAAGGCCTTCATCCTGGAGGATAACTATCTGTGAGTGCCCAGTCTTTTACCCACTCCGATTGTCTCCCAACAACTCTTGTGATTCTCTTGTGCAGCAACTCTGTCCTGGACTGCGTTCAACTGCCCGAATTCGACCTAAAACCCTGGCAGTCGAGTGCCGACGATGAGGTGCATGTGGAGCATGTGGATGTGGAGCCCGAGACCAAGGAGGCCTTCGCCGAACTGAGCCCCGAACTGATTGAAGCTGCCGTGGAGCGCGCCAAGCTGGAGCTGGAAGAGCGCAGACGTTTCGAGTACGAAGTGTGGCGTACAAGTAGGTTTCGGCCTGGTCCAAAGACCAAAGTAGACAACTAATCCGAGACTCGCTTTTCTCCCTCACAGGGGGTGGCATCAGCGCCCGTTCGCCCGACGGCACAGCCGCCTCATTCAGCAAGGCCAATCTGGCTGCCCTGAACCTGGCCAACTCCTCGCTGATTTTCGAGCTGGCCTCCAATGAGATTGTGAAGAGCCTGAACCACATAACCAGACGCAAGCGTCAGATATTCAATCCCAATCAGAACGCCTTCAACCGCAATGAGCTGACGGACACCCTGCAAACGGTGGACATTAGTGGATTGCTGGGGGGTGCCCAGAAGCACGTGGAGGGCTGCCCAGAGCCCACGCAGCAGTGCGATGCCAACAGTCCGTTCCGCACCATGTCCGGCCGCTGCAACAATCTGCGCAATCCCAACTGGGGCAAGTCGCTGTCGACCTTCTCCCGCCTGCTGCCCGCCCAGTACGAGGATGGCATCTCAGCGCCCCGCGTTACCGGTGTGACGGGCACGCAGCTGCCCAATCCGCGCACCATTTCGACCACGATCCACCCGGACATCTCCAATCTGCACACACGCTACTCCCTCATGGTGATGCAGTTCGCCCAGTTTGTGGACCACGATCTGACCCTGACGCCCATACACAAGGGCTTCCACGAGTCCATACCCAGCTGCCGGCCCTGCAACTCCCGCCAGACGGTGCATCCCGAGTGCAATCCCTTCCCGGTGCCCGCCGGCGACTTCTACTATCCGGAGGTGAATGTGACGAGCGGCGAGCGGCTGTGCTTCCCCTCGATGAGATCGCTGCCCGGGCAACAGTCGCTGGGTCCGCGCGACCAGATCAACCAGAACACCCACTTCCTGGACGCCTCGATGGTGTACGGTGAATCCGTTTGCGTCTCCAACAAGCTGCGTGGCTTCTCCGGCCGCATGAACAGCACTGTGCATCCGATCCGCGGCAAGGAGCTGCTGCCCCAGTCGAATTCCCATCCCGAGTGCAAGTCCCGCAGCGGCCTCTGCTTCATTGGCGGCGACGATCGCGCCTCCGAGCAGCCGGGACTGACGGCCATGCACACCGCCTTCCTGCGCGAGCACAACCGCATTGTGGAGGGACTCCGGGGCGTGAATCCCCACTGGAATGGCGAGCAGCTGTACCACCACACGCGTCGCATTGTCAGTGCCCAGGTGCAGCATATCGTGTTCAATGAGTTCCTGCCCCGCATTCTCAGCTGGAACGCCGTCAATCTGTATGGCCTGAAGCTGCTGCCCCAGGGCTACTACAAGGACTACAATCCCTCCTGCAGCCCCATTGTGTTCAATGAGTTTGCCGCCGCTGCCTTCCGCATCGGTCACTCCCTGCTGCGGCCCCACATTCCCCGCCTGAGTGTGCAGCATCAGCCCGTGGATCCGCCCCTGCTGCTGCGCGATGGCTTCTTCCGCATGGACGCCCTGCTGCAGCCGGGACTCATCGATGAGATACTGCGTGGCCTGGTGGCCACGCCCATGGAGACTTTGGATCAGTTCATCACGGGCGAGGTGACCAACCATCTGTTCGAGGACCGCAAGATTCCGTTCTCCGGCATCGATTTGGTTGCCCTGAACATTCAGAGAGGTAAGTCCGATGCACTTGCCAGTCCAGTGAGACCCTAACCGATCATCTGTCCCACTCTGCAGCTCGCGACCATGGCATTCCGTCGTACAACAACTATCGCGCGCTTTGCAACCTGAAACGCGCCTCCAACTGGAACGATCTGAGCCGCGAGATACCCACCGAAGTGATCAGCCGCTTCCAGAAGGTCTATGCCAGCGTGGACGACATCGATCTATTCCCCGGTGCCATGACGGAGCGTCCGCTGCAGGGCGGCCTCGTGGGTCCCACCCTGGCCTGCATCATTGGCATCCAGTTCAGGCAACTGCGCAAATGCGATCGCTTCTGGTACGAGAACCAGGCGCCCGAGGTGAAGTTTACGGAAGCTCAGCTGGCTGAGATCCGCAAAGTGACGCTGGCCAAGATCGTGTGCGAGAATCTCGAGATAACCGGCGACATGCAGCGCGCTGCCTTCGATTTGCCCAGCAATTTCCTGTAAGTGTTTCCCAGGCAGCTTTTCCCAGCTTTTTTTATTGGATGTGAAACTGATTTTTGTTGCTGGCATTTCCACAGGAATCCCCGCGTGCCCTGCGCTTCGATGCCGCAGATTGACTTGAATGCCTGGCGTGAGAATGTTCAGGGCTGCCAGATTGGTAGCCGCAATGTGCGTGTGGGCGAATCGGCCTTCCCATCGCCCTGCACCAGCTGCGTGTGCTCCTCGGAGGGGGTAAGTGCTAAACAGCTAAAAATAAAGCAGAACTTTTACTGAATCATTTGCTTACCTTCCGCAGGCTCAGTGTGCCTCTTTGCGCATCACGGACTGCGGCCAACTGATCCGTCAGTGGCCCAAGGAGGCTATACTACGCGATGAGGTGTGCAACTCTCAGTGCGGCATTTACTTGACCGGGCAGCAGGCCAGCGGCTTCAATCCCCAGCAGCGCCAGGGACAGGCCCAGCCACGTGTCACACGTTCGCGTAACCAGAATCTGTTCAAGTTTCCCGATCTAACGCCATTCATTGCCTCCTTGTAAGTGGCATGGGAAATGGGAAATGGCAGGAAGGAGAGCAGATTGAACCCAGATTGATAAATAGTTGCGCATTTTGTAAATAACTCTTGCGTTTGTACATAAGTTTCTTTTGATGTTTTGCTTACCTAAAGACTTGTCCAATGCATATACGGGATATACCCACATCCATTCACACATATACACATACTATATACTCTAGCTTGTTATGTACACCGAAAGATACAACAAACACTCGGCCCCAACCATCATCAGGCAACATGCAGCAGCGTGCACTGCATTTGCCATTTAGTTAAATTCTCCTTTAGGCTCTCAAATAATTATATGAATCGTAAATTAAGCGAAGGAAAACACAAAAACCAACTAATTCCACAAGCATTTCTATGTGTGTGTTTTGCTATTTTACAACTAAACATATCAGTGTACCACATGTACAATGAATGCATATCGATGTACGACTTTGTATGTATGCCTAATAAACAATACTATAAATTAAACAAATCATTCCACTATTAGGTGACCAAAGTGTCCTCCTGTTACTGGTCCTGTTTTACATTGGTTAAAATTATTTGCTGCAAGCGATCGATTATTGTTTTCTGATCTCAAAAGCACATGCCACGCGCATATCGGCTGAGAAAAAAAGAGTTACAGGCTTATGTTTGTTTATTTATTTATTTATATTTAATATTTATAAAACTACAAAATTCGAGAAAAGCTATATCTAAGCCAATTAGGGCCAGAGCGGCTAAGGGTCTAATTTTTTAGGATCGTAAGGATTCCAACTGTCGATGGGCATCGAAATGTCGATTATGAAAATGAGATCGATTATTGGAAAATTTAATGCAGAGCTCAGGGGGGAGCTCGTACACTGTACGAGTATGTACAATTTACAAGTTAATTCAAGTTGGCCGTGGCTCAGCTGCCAGCTGAGCTACTGATTTAGTATTAAATTATATATATATTATTATATTATATTAAATTAAAATTTAGAGCAAATATTTTTGTTTGTAAGAAAGGTAGCATTTAAAATTTCATGAATGAAAGCGGCTTACGCGATCAAACGAAAAGGTCACATGTAGACACTTGGAGAACTAGCGAAGCAGAAGGTATATAGGGCATATAAAAACAATCAGATATGCCTCAGTTTTGAATTGTGAAATAATTGGAAGAATCAGCAAGTAGATCAAGAGAGGAAAAATCAAAAAGTAAGTGATCGAACTGGAATCATTTCTAAAGTAAATAAGTACCAAAATGTATTGTAATCCTATAGACACCATTCTAAGTCGAGATAAATGCCATTTTGGTCAATAATGTCGCACAAAAAGGACATGATGAGGCTGCTGTTGGCCAACACGCTCTCCACGCACATTGAAATACAACGCAAAGCCTCCGAGGAGCTGGAGAAGGAGTTCTGCGATGGTGCAAGCACTTTGGCCCTATGCGAGCTCCTTAGCCTACAGCAGCCGGCAGAGCTGCGACTGTGCGCTGCAGAAATATTATCCAAGCGGCTGTCGTCATTTGATCAGTGGAAAGGCCTGTCAGCGGTCATGCAGGGCAATGTGCAAACAATGCTTTTCCAGGCGCTGCAGTCACTGAACCACTATGACGACGCTGTGCTTCAGCAGTTGATTGTGCAAAGTGTCTGCGTTCTGATGGATCACGAACGAACTGACAGCAATGACGGCAAGGAGGCAAAATGGGCCGATGCAGTGTTTCAGTACGTGGAGGCAATATGTCTCTCCACCGCGACTGAGCTCCAGGAATTGGGTGCCACTGTGCTGTGCCTGATGGCCGATGTGGCTCCTGGTGTGTTCATTCATCAAATGGATCGAGCTCAGCGAATTATCGTGAATGGCCTGCGCTTGGCTGACGAAAGGAACCTGCTGGGCACTCCAATATCAGATTGCCTGTGCAAGGCATGGAACCGAGCCCTGCCCACAGGTCACTCGCATTTGGCCGATCGAACCGCCCTGTCGGCCTCGCTTCCCCTCGTTATGAAAACTCTAAAAGAGCTTACTTCGCAGGACCCACCAGATCGTGGCAATTGCGTATTCGACCTGCTGCACAATCTATTGGAGTTCACGCCCGAAGTGGTACAGATGCAGTTGCCATTCGTGCTGCAGGATCTGATACCCATGACCGAGGACATCAATCTGGACAGAGCGATCCGCGTACGGTCCATTGAACTATTGGGGTGCCTCATTCTCCGCTGGCGACGCAACATAATCCGTATGGGCTGGATGAACAGGATTCTAATTGCACTGCACAGTCTGTTCGTTGAACGAGTACTAGATGGGGACAGTGAGGATTGTGCGGGTACACCAGATGTACTCGCAGCTGGAATTCACGTGCTGCTGAAGATACTCCAGCAATCATCCACCGCCAGAGTGGCAGAACGTGCACTCCACCTCATTGAGTCTGTAATGTACGAGCAGGAGCAGCAGTCCGACACAAAGCGCAGTGGCACCCAATACTTTCTGGCGGTGATGGCCGACGGATTCGTTCATCAAATAAATCGACCAACCATGGATCGTTTCATGGCCATTGTTCAGAGCGGGCAAATGGATTTAAGTTCTACTGTACGCCAGGCATCATATTATGCGATGGCCAAAATGGTGGAACATCTGCAGCCGGAGATCACACTGCACGCCGACACAGTGTTCCCGATTTTCTATAACTTTCTTGACACGGACAAAATATCGGGAAATCTGCGACTCTCGAAGAGGGATTCCATCAAAAATTCCAACATGTTCTACGCCCTGGAAATCTTCGTCGAGAGCCTCAGACCCAATGCTCTGATTCTGCATTTACCCGATCTTATGTATCGACTTCTTCCTTACGTTCAGCCGGAACAGAATTCGCTGTGGATGCAGCACTTGGCGCTCCGCTGCATCGCGACTCTGGCCCGGAAAGCGAAGTCTTCATTTGAGCCGTACTTTGATCCAGTGTGCGATGTTGCTCTAGCATTAAATGATGCAGGGGCTGATGGGCATAATGAACTGGGAATTTTACTCTGGACGCAATCTTTGCAGGTAAGGGATTGAATACACCAAAAAAGTGATCTAATGTAATGTTTTATCTCTCTAGATCATTGCCACATTGGCTCTTGTGAGTCAAGAGAAGATCGCTCCCCTGTGTCCCCGACTAATGGACTACACCGTGGAACTAATGCACGACAAGGACAAGGCAGACATCATAATCTTTACGTACCCACTGCTGGCCGAACTGGCTGGCGTGGTACCCGAGAAGTTCAAAGAGCCCTTTCCTGTGATAATCGAGAATCTCTTCCAGACTATTGATCGTCTGAATGCCGAAGGCAGTACCCACAGCTGCATCAGCACTTTCGCGGACAGCGGGGATACCGATGAGCGCGAGGAAGCTCTCCGCTGCATCCAGAGCTTTGCCGAGCACTTGCCGGACCTACTTTTTCCATACAGGTCGAGGGCCCTGCACTGTGCTCTCAATTGCGTTGTACAGAAAAGGGAACTCGTGCAACGAGCTGCCTTCGAAGCGCTTTCCAAGCTTCTGCAACTGCAGTGCAGGGCCAAGAAGCTGTGCCAGAAAGTGTTCCCGCACCTCATGGAATTCGTGGAGACTACCAGTGACGCCGGAAACGCCAGTGCGGTACTGGCCTGCGTCCAGCTACTGCTGAAGGATCCAAAGACCCATTGCCGAGTGCTGAAGAACTATGCGAGCGGGCTGCTCTTGCTTGTGGAGAAGATCCTGCAACGTCGGCTCCGATGCCAGGCTGTCAAGGATGACACGACGCAGCCAACGCAGCCAATAGAATGCTGCAGTGAAATTGTTTACCAGGAGAGCCAGTTGATGGAACTGGTGGGCGACGTGCTGCCCATCCTTGGCCACACGGTGGGACAGAAGGAGTTTGGCGGTTACTTCCGACGGCTGGTCATACACTGCGAGCGCAGCTGCATGAGGCAGTTCGAGGATGGAAATATCACCGGCCATCAATCCCTCGTCGTTTATGTTCTCTCCCGCTGCATCGATCAGCTGGCCAACAATGGCAGGCCATACTACAATATCCTATGCAACGGCATCATCAAAGGTCTGCTCGATGAAAAGTGGATGGTGCGCGAACGCAGCATGTTCTCCCTAAAAGTGATGATCCTCTGCTCCCAGGATGAGGTGAAACATATCATAAGGGCCGTCTCGGACACTGTGATCACGGCTCTCCAGCCGGACACGATTCTCTCGGTGGCCGAGCAGGAGCATGTCTGCGGCTTGGTCTGCTTCATGGTCATCATCGATCACCATCATTGCCCCATTGAGCAGTTTGTCGAGGCAATCATCCGCCACATTCCCTTTGTCGAAGTCCCAACTGAGTACGTGATTGTGGCTCGCTGCCTTATGGTGCTCTTTGAGCACTACTATGCCTACACCCGGCAACATTTGTCCAAGGTCCTCCATTTAATCACTTCCCTTCTGGATACAAGGGAGATAATGGATCAATGGTACCACAAGTGGTACAAGTTGCTACTTTTGATCCGCAAAAAACAGTCCGAATTTCTTTTCGACGACCCGAAGCAAACCGAGATCTTAAGCAACCGAAAAGAGCAGACCGAACTTCTTATCGACAGCAAGGATGAGCCCGAGATCCTTTGGGACGATAAGAAACAGAGTGAAACTGTTCTCTTGAGCGCCGCCGACAAGGAGCACTATAAGAATCAGAACGCATAAATTCCTGTGCCTAGTCGAATACTTACCTTTTTGCCAAATTCCTAATTTTTCAATATCTTAAGTATATGTAAAATATGTAAATGTAAAAATTTACGAAAATTTTAAAAATGTAGAAAAAATTGTAAAAATAAATGTAAAAATGTAATAAAAATTAAAAAAAAAACCGAAAAAATGTTTTTATTGCTCATTGACAAAAGATGACTGCTATGAAACGAAAAATTTTAATAGCTCGCTGACAAAAGCTGACTTATATGAACCGAAAAATTTGTAAATGCTCTCTGACAAAAGCTGACTGCTATGAAACGAAAAATTTACAATTGCTTGCTGACAAAAGCTGACTAATATGAAACGAAAAAAATTGTAAATGCTCGCTGACAAAAGCTGACTGATATGAAACGAAAAATTCGAATTGCTCGCTGACAAAAGCTGACTGATATGAAACGAAAAATTATAATTTCTAGCTGACAAAAGCTGACTAATATGAAACGAAATATTGTAAATGCTCTCTGACAAAAGCTGAGTGATATGAAACGAAAAAGCTTCAATTGCTCGCTGACAAAAGCTGACTGATATAAGAAGAAAAAATTGTAAATGCTCGCTGACAAAAACTGACTGATATGAAACGAAAAATTATAATTGCTCGCTGACATAAGAAGATTGATATAAGACGAAAAAATTGTAAATACTCGCTGACAAAAACTGACTGATATGAAACGAAAAATTATAATTGCTTGCTGACAAAAGCTGACTGATATGAAATGATTAAATTTAGTTACTCGCTGACAAAAGTTGACTGATATGAAATAAAAAATTTCAATTGCTTGCTGACAACAGCTTATTGATATGAAACTGTATGGTTAGTGATATGGTTCATATGGGCCGTAGATTGATCTAGTCTAGCATTAAACGATGTAGGAAGCAATCTTTGCAGGTACAGGATGGAATATACCAGAGCGACTATCACATGACACGTTATATTAGTCCTTTTTCGTGGTAGCGACGTAACGAAAAAACGTATTTAAAATTTGGTTTTTCCGAGTTGTGTGGGCAAGCTGTAAATGAATACTGATTGTTTGCATATAGCTTCGTAGCTCGACTGTCAAACGAGCTAGAGCTAGAAAAACCAGTCGGAATTTTTGTTTCCAGTCATACTTTTAGGCTGACTGGAAGTCCAAAAGATACATTTCGTTTGGGTAACTCCAGGAAGGGAATGGAATCGAAGGAAAAACAGTTGTCTGGCCAAAAAAGAGGACTGCTGCTTCTGCTTATCCTGTTCAAGCTGCTCATTGGATATAATTAAGAAATGCATTCAATATTTCCGTTACTATAAAGACTTCCCAAATGTTTAGATATTTTGTTGCTTTATTTAGTTTTGCCTTGTTGAACAGGGTTCCATTACAGCAAATATTTTGTGTATTTTTGATAGAAGGATTCTCTATAATGCCGACAATAAATAACAAAACTCACAAAGTACAATTAAGTCTAAATAAAGGATTATACTCGTACATATATGTATTCTATATTTTATATACTCGTAGATCTGCCTCTGCACTGCTCTGCACAAATATTTAATGGCAATTAGCCCGAGTAACGCGCACACAGAACGTTAGACGTGCTGGTTAGTGTTAGGGTTAGGTTTAGTTGCTCAAACGATGTTGTGGCGGTGGCATAGTAGGCCATCGAGTACATAAATACATATATATCTTATTATCGCGTAACATTATAATTATTTAAATTCGAAAAGAGCGCAGAGAGGGGGGAAAATCAAAGCGCTTAGTGTTTTGTTTTCTGGTATTTGTTTTCATTCTTCTGGTAATCTTCAGTGTTCTCTGTGTGTGTGTCCGTCCGGAGAGGTTGATTATAAACTGAACGCACGTTTATCGTAAATCGTTTTATCATCGACTAAGCGGCGGTTGGTTTGTTGGTTGGTTAATGCTACTAAAGTTAGACTTTTGGTACCCATAGAGATAATTCAACTAACGTTTACGTTTACATTATCATATCATAGTATATATCATATATAATATATATATTATATCATATGTATATGGGGGATATTACAATACTTTTTTCTTTCCTTTTGCCATGCTTTAGGTAGGCTTTATGCTCTATAAAGTACGAGTACCCGCACAAAGCCAACGGACAGGACATTATTCACATGTTAGAATCTACTACTCTGCCTTTTTTGGTACAATTTTTGTTGTTTTGTTTTGTGCTTAAATATCTAGAGAATTTGACTTCTTTGCTTTATCATTTTATCATTTATGATTTATCGTATAGACTAAAATTGAAGATACACAAACACACACATAGATCAAAAAATATACACACACATATATGGATATAGGAATCTTTTTTCGTTTTCTGTTTGTTTTTCTATTTAGTTTTTAGGTTTGTATGTAGGCTATGCTTATGGTAATGTTTTCTTTCATTATATTCCCCTACTGCACTGCGATACTGTTGCTCAATAGAAAATGTTTTATATACAAGATGAGAGCGAGCGAGAGAGAGAGAGAGAATTGTAAAGTGTAAATGATGGTGCATAGAATTATGTATGTACATATTGAAGATTATTTATTGGGATGTATTTTCATTTTTCATTTATTTGTCAGCTGCCAAGGCGGTGGCTCCCCCATTGCTGTTTGTCTCCGAATGACGACGCGCCAGTAGATGATGATGATGATGATGCTGATGATTTTGATAGCTGCCGTACGGCATTCCATGACCATTCGGTGTGCCTCCCATGCCATTTCCATTGCCATTGCCATTGCCAAAGGGCAGACCATCGAGATTTCCAATTTTGCCCACAATTTTTGGTATCCTATCACTTTCCGTTGAGGCATTGAGACTGATCAGGCCACTGCCACCGATGCTGGCAGTGCCAATGCCCCCACCAATAATGGGATGGTGATTCTGATGCGACTGATGCGAGTGATGATGATGATGATGATGACCAGCATGACTGTGGCTATGACTGTGACTCTGACTGTGACCATGATAATGATGATGATGATGGTTGTTAATCATGGGTGTGCTCTTGCAAAGAGCAGCCGTGCCATTCCTGGTCACCAGATCCTGTGGACCCTTCAGGGAGCTTGTCTTGCGCACCTGCAGGCCGCTGCGCTGCGACTGGTCGCAGCTCCTGCAGCGCGGCTTCTGTGCGGCATGGCACTGACGTTGCAACGCATTCAGATTGGCCGCCACGAGGCGGGCCTGCAGCGTCTTCGATGGCGAGACGGGTGTGCTGTCATCTTCGCCAGTGGGCGGCGGTGTGGACGCACGACTGGAGGCTGTCGACGAGGTGGCCGACGACAGGCAGCTGCTGTTCGACTCCAATTCGCCATCGGCATCGGCATGACCGTTCTCTGTATTGCTCCTCTCCTGCTCGTGCTCCTCTGGTGCGGCAGCAACCACATCATTATCAGCATCATCATCATCATCATCACTGGGCTGGGTGCTGGTGGGATGAGAAGCAACGACGGCAATGTGGTTAATAGTTGTGTTGCCGCTGTTGGCTGCTGCTGTGTGTGTGCCATTTACGCTTTGGTCTGCTTCAGCATCAGCATCAGTAGTAGCTTGTGCCACATCATCATCTTCACTCATCAACGCCTTGCAGTCACCATTCGATATCACAATTTGCTGCTCCTTCTGCTCCTGCTGCTGCTGCTCTCCTCCTGACTAGTTTTGTTTCCATCGGCCATATCGATCCAATGACCGCGATTATCGCGCACGCCCTCCACAAGAGGTTCCAGCTTGTCAGAGAGTGTGGCAAAGGCCTGCAGGAACAAACAGAAAAATATACATTTATAATAAACGTTTAAAAGGTGACAACAAAAGTAGAGACAAACCTCATAGATGGGCATGCAAATGGAATCAATAAAGTTCACTTGCATCATGGGCAACTCATCCTCCTTTTCGCGATTCATGATGTCCTTAAATGGGAAAATATACGTGCTTAAACATACAATGGTCATAGTCTAAGGAGTCTCTTCTTACAATTGGAGTTATATTGAGCTCCTGCTTCTCCATATCGCCCTGCTCAAAGAACTCGGAGCTAACCAAATCGGCCACACGCTTCTCAATCTCCCACGGCTTCGTGATGGCCGACAAATCACAGACAGTCATGCTCATGGCCCGCAGCAAAGCACGCGGCTCCTCGCCCACCCAATGGCTCAATGGCTGCTCCACACTCTGCAAGAACGGTCCACGTTTTCTACGAAAATAAATATCAATTAAATCCGAAGTTTCATTTGTCTTTTGTATGTGCACAACTCACTTGAAATACACAGCCAAGTCAGTGGAGAGAATTGCATCTTCCAGCACACGTATAACCCGGCAATAATCATCGGAGGAGAGATTGGCCAGTATTTGATTGCCAGGACTATTCAAAATCATCAGACACTGATCAAAGTGATGATGCTCCATGGTGGATGTGGAGTACAGTTGCGCCAAAGGCGAAGAGGCTCTAAAAATTCGAGTTTTTTTCTTTAGATTTGATACACTTTTCAGGCATTTGCTCTACGTACTTTATTTGAAATGAGTTGTTAGTCCCTCGGTGATCGAGATCATGGCACAGGCAGCCAATAATGAGAGCCAAACATTCAATTTCACCAAAGATCTTCCACCATTGTGTGGTCTAAAAATAACAGATGATTATATCTCCTGCTATTATTGATTCTTTTCTTATTCCTAGACTCACCGTCAGAATGGCAAACATCATTTGTGCCACATTGAAGGCATGCCGCCAATTGTGGTACGTAACGTTGCGATAGTTCTTCTTGACGCTCAATAGCCAACGGCACAGCACTTCGTAGTCAATATGAAAACGCTCCACAAAATCGAGATCCAGAAACATGCGCAAACAGGCCTAAAATTAGAGATTGATTAGTACAATTTGCTTAGGTTTTTGAGCATTTTAGGAGACTTACCTTCAGTGTATCATCATCCTCAAAGTGTATGTCATCGAACTTAAAGTCGTGTAGACGGAAGTGTACGGCCGAGGGTACACGCAGGCGCTATAAAAATATTTACAAAATTAATTTATTGCATACAAAATATTTCTGAATATAACTATCAATTATGAAAGGTTATATTTGGTTTAAATATCTATCAAATGACTTTAAAATCTATTGCAAACTATTCGTTGAGAGGTGGTACTCCTACAAAATCCATAATCTCTTTACAATTAAATATTAACTAACTACCCAATATTTTAAAATCTCTTAAATCAATTTTCTGCTTGAATAAAAAATTTCCTGAACTTTGCTAAAGCATCCTATCCCCCAAAAATCTCTGCCATCTACCAGCACGTGCCACCAAAAATCTCCCTCACGATACCCTCATCTGCTGGGCTGGCTGGCTGTCCGGCTGAGCTGTCAGACAAATGTAAATGGCACTATATTAGCCACCAAAGCGATGGAGAGAAGTCCATCAAGAAACTCTCTGATATGACACCTCCACAAGAGAAGAAAAAACGATGCAGAGTGGCCCGCAGGGGTGCCAAAGCCACTGTCCAGAGAGAGGTCCGAGAAGCAAAAAGGGTTCGTTCGTTCGTTGGCTTTCTTCCTTGATGCGGTAATCGCATCGCTCTGTGTCCGTCGTAAAAATAAAGCCTAGTATGGCATAATTTTAATTAAAATTAATAACCCCAACATCTTTGTCGCTCTGGCTGACAACTCGACAGGCGGTCATAATTTTCCTCGAGCATAATTACAGCAACTGTCCAACTGGGAGACAAATGAAGAAGGAGTGTACCACTGCCTCCTGCCTCTCGCCTGCTGCCTCCTGGCTCTTCTTTCTCTTTTGCTCTGGTAGCAAAGTTTCCTTTTGTCATACTTTTGTGCGAACAAACTAATTACAACTGTCAACACGCCAGTTTGGTCGTGGGTTAAGTTGCCTCCGACACGACAGCTTGTTGCCGCTGTTTCTGTTTCTGTTTCTGTCACAGAAGCAATAAAAAACCGTGAAGCAAAAGCCCTACAGCTCCAGCAGGACAATGGGGCAGCAGTAGGACACCTTTATTTATGGCCTGGCATAAAAATTAAGAGGCAGAAGCAGAGGCCGCAGCGGCAGCGGAGTGAAGTGACCTTTTCCCTATCTACAAATTAAGTGAGCGCAAATAAAATTAACCAAAAGCAAGTGCCCCTCCGAGAGACAAACTGAAACTTACACGCAAGCGATGGGCCTCATCCATGGTGGCCGAGGCATGATAGCTGAGCACCTCCAGGGTGACACTCTGCTTGGCCATGGCCACAATGGCCTTCTCGTACATGTGCGTATTGTGTATGCCCATGCCACAGAAGATGGCGAAAGCCTCCACAAAGTTCTCATCGTTTTTGGTAAAGTCCTAAAGGGAAAAAAAGAGGGAAACATTAGCTACGGGAAAGATCTCTTGCTGGGAAATTCAAACAATTACCAGTTCATTAAATTTATTGATCAACTGAATCACTCCTATGATCTGTCCCAAAGAGTTCTTGATGGCCATGCAAAGGATCGATCGATGCTTGAAGCTGGAGTTCTCATCGACACTCGAATCGAAGCGATCATCCTCGTAGGCATTGGGCACCATCACAGTCTCGCCGGTGGTGGCCACATGTCCCGTGATGCCAATGTTGATGGGGAAACGCGACTCGTAGGGGCTGGTGCGTGAGGTGGCCTCCTCCTCGCTGAGGTCGTTCGCCTCAAAGTCAAAGACCCGCGAGAAGCTGCCCTTGTCCGCCTCGTGGACGAGGAGTATCTGGACGCGCTGGCACTGGATGAGACTCTGCATGTGGGTGAGAATGCGGAAGACCATGTGCTCGATGGTGCTCTGCTCCTCGAAGATCATGCGTGCCAGATCCAGCAGCACTTGATTCCGCTTGATTTCCAATTGAGATTTCTCGTACAGTTGCGCATTACGCAGTCCGATGCCACAGAATTGCAGATACGAGGCAAAGACCTGTCCGGGAGAGAGGATTATGCCAAAAGGATTAACACGGAAAGCCACGCTACGCCACACACACACAGAAATGAGGTTGAAAAATTCCATAAAAATATGAAGAGCACACACACAAAAGATGGATAATCCCCAATGGCATTTTGTCAGACATTCTGCTAAGCTTTCTTAACAAGTTTTCCCCACTCTTTTCCATTGTGTTGAATAATGAATGCAATTTGCCTTGGGGCCAACAAAAGTGTGCGAGGGGCAGGAGTCTGCTCTGCAGTGAGCTGCAGCTCTTATGTGGCTTATAGCCGAAACAAAAGAAACACCATCAGCACTCCCGACCCGGCCCCCGGCCCCCGGCCCCCGATCCCTGTCTTACCCATCATCCATTTATCCATCCATTCAGTCATTCACTTCCGCTGCTGCACTCACCTTTTCATCGATTTCGGAGAAGCACTCGCCATTCACTTTGTTGATGACCTGAGCAACGCCAATCACATCCCCCGAGGAATCCTTGATGGGCATGCACAGCAGTGCCTTTGTCCGGTAGCCGGTCAACGAATCGATTTCACAATTGAACCGCTCATCCTGTGTATGCGAAGAGAAATGTATATGGGGGTAGAATTAATTAGTTGTTTGATGGGTACTTTACTTAGGGGTGTTACAATAATGGCAAAAGTCTAATTATATGTCCTACAATTTTTGTTAGTTGAAAACTTTCGCATTAAAAATATTCTGGCAATTATTTCCACAAGGATTTTTTTGCTACAACCAAACTTAAACTGCTAAGCCACACTGGGAAGAGAGAACGCGCGAGAGGTGGGAGAGGTAAGCCAGGGCTCTATCAGTACAGTATACACTACACTATACACTATGTTCGAATGATCTAAAATTACTCGTTTAATACTCATTGTTTAATATACTCTTTCATATCTTAACATCCTTGAGATATTCTTTATTTTACGAGCATATTTTGATTATTATTGCTGCTCGACATTGACACACATTCTAGCCAATGGCTTATCTACTTTCTACAAGTAAAGAAGAGTACTCTTCGTAGCCCGTTTAGGGGCTATCATTTTGTTGGCTTCGGGAGACGCCCCAGACGACTGTTGACTGACATTTGTTTGTGGAGCCACTTAGGCCAGTCAAAAGTCCACAAGATCTGCGCACTCGAGCATAACCCACTGTCTAATAATACGAATAAACCGAATAATGCCTTTCATTCACACCAAAAATCGGCTGTGTCGGTGCCGGTGGCTGTGGCTGGTGCGGGCCAGTGGCTGCCTCTGCGGTAGTGTCTGTCTGTATTTGGCGCGATTTATCTGCGAGCTGGTCGCGCTGTCTGCTACCGGTGTCAAATATTGTTGTGCCTTGATTAATTGTGCCAACAATCAGCAAGATGATCTATCTTTATGAGAGTCCCAGTCCCAGGCCCAGTCCGATCTGGTTGTGCGTCATATTTGCTTGGCAGTTTATCTACGGGTACGAGTATGAGTATCTGCAAGCACATTTTTGCGGCAGCTTAAGTTGACTTAAGCGAAGAGAAGCAGATAAATTCCCGGGCTTAAAGCATTAACTTGAGAATCAAGAGAGAAAAAAAGAGTGTCCATATCTGTAGGGGGGGGCCTGGGGGTCTATGGGTATGATATAACAATGCCTAACATGGCCTTGTCTTTGCCACAAGATTAATTACGCTCCAATTGGCAGACAGGCACACAAGAAAAACTGCCAAGAAAAAAAAAGAGAGAGAAGAGAGAGTGAAAAGAGTAGACTTAAGAATGAAAGGAAAATGTGAAAAGTGTGCAGTGAGCAATATTGAAAGCTTAAAGAGCAGGAGCAGACCGACATGTGTGGGGACCGGACCAGACCGGACCCCAATCTCCCAATCGAATAGAAGACATCTACTCCGGCTCCTGCCAGCCAAAAGAGTTGCTCCTGCCCCAAAATGCTCTTTCTTCTCTTCGACTTGATTTATGGCCTCTGCTTGGCATTCAAATTTGTCAAATTTCATTCTCGAAGATAGACAATGCGGAAAACCATTTGCCAAATACATTTACTCCGGTCTCTGGACTCCCAAATACTGACCTGGTAAGCATCTGGTATATTGACAGGTTCCCCGCTCTCGGCCACATGACCAGCAATGCCCGTGCCCCAGGCCACACGGACTTCCTCCTGCTGTTCCATCTCCTCCACGGTGCTGCGGGGGCACACATCGAACAGCTTCGAGACGAGGCATCTGCAACGTGTAGAAGAAGGAAGAAAGTTGAAAGAATTATAAATTGTGTTGCAAATTGCAAGCCCCCCCATGCCAGCACCGCACCCTCCCCCCATTGTCCACACATTCGGAATACAATGCAAACTTTAGCTCTCTCTAGTCTGGGGAGCTTCCCCGGGTCGGCCTTCCTTCCTGAAGTCATCCACAAATTCCATGGAAAAGCACAACCACTCGCCTGATTGCTGCTGCTGCTGCAAAACTTTTGCTTCAAGGGAGGGGCGAGTGGATGATAGTTCCACAAAATGTTTTTGATTTATGGTAAATGTTTATCTATTATTAATTCTATCTATAAAACTATACGCGAAATTGTTTGCCTTTACGGAAGAATTTAGGATGGCAATTGAAACAGGAATTAAGGTAGGAATTATGTAAAGTAGGAATCAATATGTGCATTAAATCAGTAGTTAAATTTGGAGTAAATGCAGGGAATGCTAATTTTGTGGAACTTTCGACTGCTAGAATTAAAATTTAGTTGCAATCTCTAGCACATTTAAGCTGTTAATATTCTTGGAAATATTTCATTTGTAAAAATATTTTCAGGACAAATGCCTATCAAGCACAATATTTATATTTGGTTATCCACTCTTGGAAAAGCATTCTTCCGCTCTTTGCATTCGGTAAACAACTAATACTCCTATGTAAAGCTTTTGCCTGCAGACTGCTGATAAATCTGTAATATTTCCTGATTAAATTCCTTCAATTCATTTCTCATTTCAAATGAGACTTCTTAGAGCTTCCCCCTCCTAAAAGTAAATCATATTCCAGTAGTTTTACGCACTTCTTGAGTCCGTCGGGTCCATTGCAGCGTCCCTGCACCAGAAACAATGACCCGCGATCCGCATTCAGCAAAATGGAGACATTCTGAAGTATCTTGTGGCACAGCGTGCGCACTTCCAGTTCATTGCAAATGTCCTTTACCTGAAAGATAAATATAGACAAAGACGCAGGGTTAATTATTAGCTTATGTAAACTAAAGAAATGTGTTGCCAATAGATGCGAATGTAACTATAGATAGAGCAAAGGCAATAGCATGACTGACGTCTTTTGAATGTTTGCCGATAACAACGTCAATGCTGGAACACGATAGAAAGCCAAACAGAAAGCCAACAAACAAACAAACACGTCAGCCGCGTAAGCGTTGTAATAAACTCTATAAATAGATACATTTGGTGCCCCACAGCAACTGCATTTCCAGTTAAACAATCGACCAGATATGGCTTGGTTTTTCCGCAGAAAAATCTGATTGCAGCACTCACCAGCTCAAAAATGATTTCCTTTTCATCGAGCTGCTTGAGTTCATTGCGGGAGAGCCGCTGCGGTCGCTGGATGCAATGATAGAACTGGTATTGATGTGAATTTCCACTGCCCGCGGATGAGGATCCACCAGCACCGCCACTGCCTGGTGAGACACCGCCGCCAGTTGCTGCTCCTGCTGCCGCACTACTGATGCTGCCCAGACTGCTGCTGCCCACTGCCCCACCGGCCTGGTAGTGGCTGTGCTGGCTGTGGTGCAGATGCGGATGATGGTGGTGCGAATGGTGGTGGCTGTGATACTGATACTGTCCCGCCACAACCCCACCCACATTCTGCAGATTCGAACAGGAGCCGCCCACACCCCCGTTATCCAGCGGCGGGCCAATGCTCAAGAATGTCGGTGTCCCATCGATGGTATTCACAATCGGCTTGAGCAGACCCCCGCGCTCAAATTCATGAGCAGAGATTTTCCTGTAAATAAGAGAATTAGCAAACGAAATTCCCACCATAGTTTGCCACGCTTACCGCACTGGTGTGGTGGCGCCGGAGCCGCCACGCGAGGAGCTCGTCTGTCCATTGGGATGTGTGGGGGAGCTGCTGGAGACCACATCATTGCCCGCTGTGGTGGCATGCGAGACCAGCCAGGCATCCACCGTTTGACGTGTAGCTTTTCTATAAGGGATAGAGAGAGAGAAGAAAAGGGTTAGAAAATGTGAAAATATATTATTTATTAAGGATTATTTCGGTGTTTTTTCATTGGCGGTTCTATAACTATTCTACAACAGATTGATTTCATATAGATTTAAATTAGAATCAGTTTTAGAACTTCTGTTACCCCTTGCTAAACTCTTTCTTCAATCTTTCTTCCTTCCACTGCACTTCTCCATCCTATCCCTTCTGAGTTCTGTGTCCTTTGAGTCACTCCATATTAAAATCTGATAAGAAAAAACAACTAAATGAATCGCTGGTGCTGCTCCTGCTGCTGCTGCTGGACCTCTGCCGCATTTTACACACATTCTGGACGATATGCATGCGTACCGCATAAAATTGTCTAATAAAAGACCCAACTCATAAATATTCAGACAGCGAGAAGGATCCTCCCGTACTCCATCCATACCCTCCTATCCAATGCCCCCATCTTTCGCCTCCCAGCATGTGGCCTTATGAGCACGCGCTTTTGGCATAAAAACCACCATCCAGCCAGGACCCAGAGACCCCACAACAGCAGCAATCACAGCGCACAACTCGGTGTAAGGAGCATCCAGAGATGTTGAAAGAGAGAGAGAGAGAGAGAGAGAGAGAGAGAGCAGTGGAGATGTTAAAGGGAGACACCCCTTCCAGGACATGCGGCATATTCTTATGCAAAGTACAAACAGACGCCACACCCCTTTTGCCAGCCTCCCATTTAATGGGCTGCCCCGCAGAGAGCGAGAGAAGCTAAACGGAGCGCTCTGCTCTGCTGTCCTGCCTGCTCGACCATGAAAATAAAGCCCAATTTATGTTTTTAGTTGTTAGTGATTTTTATTATGTGTCATAGACAACTCCTCCCAGAGAGCCTCTGCATCGCTCTCTCTCTCTGTCTCTCTTTTGTGTATGTCCTGTGGATGTTCCCTGCTGTGTGGGGAAAGGCAATTTCCGGTTTATAGCGGAAACGAGCTAGCCCTCGGTTCATGGCCAACACCACTTGCCCCATCGCAAGTCCCTGCCGATGGCTTTACCATAAATATGGCCGATTGTTTGCCATGTGGCCAGAGAGAGGGTCAACACCGGCGACCAAACGTGTGTGTGTGTGGGTGTGGCAGTTGCAATTGCAAATTTAAGGAATTTATCAGTGGAAAATACTCCTAGAGTATTTGCATGGAACTGATGGGAATATATAGAGCATTTATTTATGGAACATCCATTTAGAAGCAGCTGCAATTTATGTCCTGCTGCTGCGGACATGACTCGAGGGACTCGATGGGAAATCGAACTCTGTTTTGTGTAGATGTTGAACGTGTGTTTCCATGCTGGCGAAAACTTATTGATTGATTGCGAGTTTTGCTATGAGGAAAATTAATAAAATTCTACCAAAAGTTTTACTAAGAAATGAAAGGAAAGACTTCTTCTTTTTTAGCTAGAACTATTCGCATAAGAGTAGTTGTACCTATCAATATATTTAGGCCTGCCATCAATCAATCTTCTCCATTTATATATCTATTTCTTTTTGATGTCTTACCTTATAAAATAATCCTGTACAAATTCCTGATTCTCATCCAGCCAGGCCTCCATTCGCGCATGCTCCGGATCGTATGGGGGTCTGATGTGCTGTGGCGACGATGACGACGACTGATGGTGATAGTGATGCTGGTAGGACTGATGCTGATGTTGCAACTGCTGTTGCTGCTGCTGCTGCTGCATCGGTTGCTGTGTGGCATACAGCTGCAGCTGTGGGTAGGCGGAGGAGTTGGGAGCTGCAGCAGCCGATCCTGATCCTGATCCAGATCCGGATCCAATATTATTCTGATTGCTGCTCAGCGGCTGGTAATGGTGGGCGGGTGATAGCTGGTGTGAGGCTGGTGGCAGGGGGACACCGGTGCGTGTGGCAAGGAGAAGCGAATGCTCGCCATAGCCGTACCCTGTGCCCCCCTGCTCCGCATTCATTCGACCGCTGCTCCCCAGCTGCAACGGCGTCGTTGGGGGCTCCTCAATGCTCCGCAAATGCAGGCCTGCAATGGGAAAGAAGGAGAACGTGGTGTGAGTGGGGAGGCTAAATACATATAAATGGATTCATGAATATTTTTAATTCAAATTAAATAGAAATATTTTTCCTCTCTTTTTTATGGCTTTTCCCCGCCATCTTTTCCCCCCTTTGGGTAATTTGTTCGCGCCATGTGTGTGCTGACAGTTTTATGAGCATTCTTTCGGCCACACATCTCTCTTTTTCGCACTGCCATCTCGTTCGCTCTCTCCTTCTTGCCTCTCGATTGATGCCACATTTGCATTGCAAATGGGTCAGACATATCCTTTAAGGCACACGCCACTCGGCACGTGACCAGCAGAGATGTCTCTCTCTCTCTCCTCCATTCCTTCATTTATAGCGTTGCAGAGAAAACTGTCACTGCTTTTGGTTGCCCTTCAGCAGTTGAAGGGTACTCTCCATTTGCCACAAAGTTTGCAGCGCAGGAACTCAAGGAATTATTTGCTTTCTAGGAGGATATATATCCCCGAGCTGTTACTGACTCAATGTATCAATGCATTGCAATGGAAATTTGTAGAAAATACACAACAAATTTCCATTCTCAGGAGCAACATAAATTCGTAAGTGATTTTTACATGCATATTTACATATTTAAATCAATGGAAACACAAATTTATTTGGAAGAGTATCTAAGCCTTCGCTGCTCACATTTTTCGTTCCCTTTTTTTTATTTTTTTCTTTTCTTTTTTCCAATTTCCTCTTTCAATTTCCACAATTTTCGGGGTTTGAGAGAAAAATCACATAAATTTGTTCAATTGCTTTTTTGGAAGCTCATCAATTTGTCGCTTTCTCTAGAGAAGTGACTCCTTTCTCTCTTTTCCCTTGCAACAATTAAGTGTGGTACAACTTTTAAAGGATACTCCCATGCTCCTTTCGACTACGCGGCGTATACGTAATGCACCATAAATAACATTCGACAGTTACAGCGGCAGGACAGCGGCAGCCTTACCCCAAAAAAGTGTTTCAAGTTCAACATTAACCGGATATATTGGCAATTTCCTCGAATGTATCTTTGTGTCTGGCGCTTGTAATGTCTGCCATTGAGCGCCTGATTAAGTGCTAAAAATAGATACAAAGATACAAACGACAAGCAGCCACCCAGTAACTGATGAATGTATGGAGGATGAATGCCACAGGAAACCCCCTAACAACACGCTGATGTGGAGTCAAGTGTTTTGCTGGGGAAAACCTTCGCTGCTCCTCCCAATTTTGTACATTTTCCTACCCCCTTTCTAGTGTCTTGGTGTCTGGTTTATTTATTCCTTGGGAAAATATGATTTATGTTTTACTTTTTGACTCCAGTGACAGGCGAGGGTAGGGATGGGGGCGAACCGCCCAAAGAAACAAACAAACGACTTGTGTTCTTGTCACTTGACGATTTGACTTTCCCTTAAAAGCTTAACAAAAGTCAAGGTCTTTTATTTGAGCATTTTCATAACTTAAACTTTACTTTCATTTCAGATAGAAATATATTTTGTTAGGTTTTCTATGTTAAATTATTATCTTTGGTGTATTTTGTGAGGCATTTTTTCTGCAGATATTTGGATATTTATCAGAATTTTTTTATGTAAATGCTCCAAGCAGATTGAGGCCTCTCCACCAATAGTAGACCAATAGTAGAACATCCAAAATGTAGAATTTAATAATTTTAAATGTCTCTCGTGTCTCTAGATTTTCCATTTTTTCTTTCACAGAAATTAATAACGAAGAATGAAAATTTGATTAAAGTGTCAGTGCCTTGGGGCTGAATTTACTTGCAATTCCATTTGCAATTCTCTTTGGCATTAATTTCAGCTTTTCCTCCCATGATTTGTGTGTTCCCCAGGAATTTATCTCACAGATAAGTATCTCACAGATACTTTGTGGCAAGGGGAGAAGATACTTTTTGTATGTCTTGTATTTTTTGCTTTTAAGCTTTGCCAATAAGTTGAAAAGTTGGCTACTTAGTGTTGCAAGTGGGGAGCGTATCCAAATCCCTTTGGGGGCAAGGGAGATGCTGCTGCAGCACTTACATGCCACACATGTTATGCACCAGCAGCAGCAGCGGCAGCGGCAGAGGGGCAGCAGCAGATACTTCCTTGAGATCGAGAGAGAGAGAGAGAATTTAATCTTTTAAGCTGCATTTGCCTTGCCACACATCCAACATGCAACATGCTTAAGCTGCTGCAAAACATTTGGCCCTCCCTCCCTCCCACACACACACACACACACACACACACATCTTTCACACCCGCCCACCACATGTATTTGTATCTGGAGAATTCCTTTGGCTATTTCCTGCTCTCGAAGTCAAATGACAAGTCGACAGTACAGTGGCCCGTGTGCCGTATGTGTGTGTGTGTGTGTGGGTCGAGTGGGTGGTGGTGCCACACTGCAGCAGCACTGCAGCACCCACTGACGCCGACACTTTGCTGCGGTTTGATGCGTCAGCTTTATGTAAGACATTCATATGGCCCCTACTTGCCAGCTTCTTCCCCTTGGCTCCTGGACCCCTGCTCCTCGTTGTGTAGTGTATTACACCCATTTTCTCCCTGCTGCTCTCCTTCTTCCACTCCCTTGGAAAATAGCAGTATTTTTATACAACATTTGCAAAGGAATTTTACTTTTAGCAGAAAATAACAAAAGAAAAAATACACAAGGGGAAGTCTTATACGAAGGCATAACTGACCAAGGAAATACTCTTTGGGGGAAATATTGTATATGTGTGCATGTATAAGATTCTGATTGAATTTCATTGCTCAAGTATTTTATATTCATCCTGAAACTGAATTTATTCACATATAATATAATCTGGCGAGTACTAACTCTTTCTTTTGGAACCTAATCAGCCCAAGGGGCCGGCAAAGTGATGCAGTGGAACACTCTCAAGTTTACTCTAGCTTGTATCTGTTCCTTAAAGCTATTTGTAGAAGTTACGTTTCCTGAGAGCTCCCGCCGTGTAGCTACTCATGGAAAAGCACACACAAGGCGGACATATCTGCATTGATTTGGCTTCTCTGCCGCTACGCGTTAGTAAACTTTTCCACAAAGTTATAACACCCCTTATCCAGGGTATTACCTCCACATACGTACATACATATACATATATAGTTGAACTAGTACTCATATCAACATGTGTATGTGGAGGATGCGTGCATTGTTGTTGCTCTCGAGGAGTGAAACCCGAATGCAAATTGAATGTTGGCAAATGGCAAAATGTGCATAAGAGAACAATTTTTTCCCTCAGTTTGCTCTGAGGCTTGGATCGATGCTGCAGGGCAGAGGGGAGGTGGGTTGGGAGGGGGGAAACACGTATAAAAGAGTATATAAAATAAGCTGGATATGCCAGATCCACACATCCACATATCCACATCCTTCGTCTTGTTCCGTTTCCACTCCCTTTTGTTTGTTGTTTGCTCTTTGGCGCTGAAGTCGACACTGAAGTGTGGAAGTTTTGTAACAAAATATTTATGAAATTCTCTCAAGATGTGAGCCAAGGTTTTTCACTTGCAACATCTCTGCAGCTCCAACTTGTCACCTGTTACAAAGGGGGCTTCTTACTGTATGTTTTGCTTTAAATTTAAGAATATTTTGGGATGCGAGAAAGAGTTTTTATATGGCAAACTACACTGAACGGTGCAGAAATTCAGATTTTTCCTTTCAAGGCTTTACAAAATATATTTAGGTGAAGGCGTAATTAATCCAAAAACAAGAACCATTTATTTTAAATTATTTATTTAAAGATTTTGACTTGTGTAGCGGTCACCTTTCACCCTTTGAGACCTCACCTGTTGCTGCCGCTTCCGACTGATGTTGCAATTGGGGACTGGGTAAAGGTGTTTGTTGTTGTTGTTGTTGTTGTTGCTGCTTGTTGCTATTCTTATTCTTATTTTTGTAGCGACAACCACGAAATCGACACATACTTGCCGCTTGGCCCATGGGGCCCGCCAGCAATGCAAATGTTAGACCCTCCGTTTTAATGAATTGAATTTTATCAAATTTGAGCAATTCGGCAGCAAAGCGAAAATTATATTTCTTTGTTGTTGTTGTTGTTGTTGTGGGTGATGGAATTGTGGAATCAATTTTGTTGAATTTCTTGCCACCGCAGAGTGGCAGCCAACACCGCAGAATGTTTTGGATTGTTTCAAATACTCGAATTTGCGATTAATTTGTAGACTTTGGTTTTGATCACTTGTGTTTTTCGGCGTTATATTTGTATTAATATTGGCTTTACGGCTGTCGGTGATGCTACCACTGCTCGTATTGTTGCTGTTGTTGTTGTTGGTTTTTGGTGTTTCACTTTGTTGAACTTTCATAATAACTGTTTTTGTTGCTTGTTTATTTACTTAACAAATTATTCAGTTATTCAGCAGAGAGACAGAGACAGAGAGAGAGAGAGAGAGAGGAAGACCTGTTGAAGTTTTGGTTTCGTTGAATAAATTTATATTTTCAGAATGAGACAGACAGAGAGAGAGAGAGCGGGGATATGGATACCCTGCTCTTCTCTATATGCCTGACCTGACCCGTGCCTCAAAACTTTGCAGACAGTTGATGGCCGCTGCCAAAGTTTTAGCCGTAAAACTATTTCCCAGAGTTTCTGCCGAGAGTTTCCTGAATATCTTAGGGTTCTCTTTTTAAGGATTACTGTTACCAGAGGGGAATTATAATTGTAGCCAGTCGTTTAAGGAGAGTAGAGAAGGGAGATTTAATTTGTCAGGAAATATATTTGAATTAAATATTTTCATTCATTCAGGGTTTTGTTTTTCTCTGGGTGTATTTACTCATTTGATCCCATCTTTAGTTTTTTTTTTGTACTTTAAGGTTCAGCTCAGGTTAAAGGTTTGCTGCTGCTGCTGTTGCCATTTTGCCATATGCCGAGAGGCAATTCAATTAACGCTTTTTGGGGTCGCCAACAGTCAACTGTTGGCCGAGACACTCATTGAAACAGACAGAGGCGAACAGAGCAGGGAGAGATATTGGGGGACAGCGGCAGACAGGCCGCCAATTGATAAACAAACAAGACTCCAAAATGTCGCTGAAACATTGTCGCAGAGCGGAAGGTAGAGGAGGCTGTCGTAGCTTGGCTGTGACTCTGGCAGACACTCTGCCTGCAGTACGGCATACGGAACGTGGAACGAGTAGGCCCATTCCCATTCCCATGCCATTCCGTTGGAAAATGTCAGTTAAGTAAAATCAACAATCGACCTGCCTCCCCTCAGCGCTGAAACGTCAATAATACTCGAAAGCCACACAGGCAAACAATGGACAGGAGGGAAGAGCAGAATACTGGATGTGGTAGGGGAAAAGGGGAGATTCAGAGAAGCAATAGCGAGGGTAACACAAAGAGATGCATGGAAATACCGTCAAAAGGATTGATAGTGCATTTAAATATGAAGATATTTGTGTCCATTAATCTACATAAGTTGGAAATAATAATACATTTTTTCTTATACATTTGGGAATCATTTACAGAGTTTGCTATGGGGTCTGTCTCTGGAGAGATTCGCCTCGCAATGTCTGTTATTTGCTGCAGCTTTTTCACCCCTTCAATCAACGCGTTTGAGCACTCATCAGCAGCAGGAGGAACAGGACCAGCAACAATTCCCATCATCAACGCCAGCATCATCATTTTATCTATTCAAATAGGGAGCAAAAGGCAAAAGTAGAAACTGATATTCAGTGGCAGTTGCAGTGGCAGTTTGCAAGTCGTGCAATCCTTTGACAGCCTTCAATCTAATTCATTTCATTTCTCACTAAAGGGAGAGGAAAAGTGGAAAAAAAGCACTGCTGAAAAATGATGTCTATTGTCGTTGAACGGAAATGAAATCATTTTTGCTGTCAAGTGTCACTGGGCATCGGGCCTCCAGCCTCCAGCAGCAGCGGTCAGGCAAGTCATGCAACCAGCAACCAGTCAGAGGAGCTGTCAAGCGATGGGTGGCACAGTGAAGGTTGTGAGAGTTTATGATTGAGAGTAAATCAGTGAAAATCTACTCAAATGTTAATGCCAAAATTCAACAACAAACTCGTTAAATACTTTGTTGAAAATGGAGAGAATTTAAGAAACTCTTTTTCCTATAAAAAAAAGCACTCATACGACCCGTTGGTCAGCTTTTCTTAGAGGAATTTGAAGCACTTTTAGGCTCTGAAAAATCTATGGTCCGCAGAGCCAAAGTGGCTCATTCAATGGTTTTTTTGTGGCTTGCCCTCTCAGCTGCCACATGCTGCCTGCCGCATATGTTGCATATGCAATGTGTATTGCGGCCATCAACCATACGCACCGTGGTGTCCCATGGCTTTTATTATTTCTGTTACTTTTTTGTAGCCTTCTCTACACTCTCCTTTCACATGCCCATCTCTTCTTTCTTGTTTCTCTCCTCCCTTGCTATATTTCTATCTTTGTATTTTTTTTTGTACACCTAGCAACTGGTGACAGAGAACGACAGACAGACAGAAAGACAGAAAGAGAGAAAACACAGAATAGAACACAGCTAAAAAAAATATCAAAAAACTATTTTTATTCCCAACCACAAAATAGAGAATAAGAGAAACAGAAAAGCAGAGGTAAAATGAGAGAGAGAGAGAGAGAGAAGTACGCTTACATTATGTCAATAGCATAGCTAAAAGTACGAAGCGGGGGGCACTGAAAGGTGAGTGTGGAGTGGAGTCCGTCTGGGGTATAAGCAAAACGATGTTCATTAATGGCGCACGCCACAGACACAAACACAGAGACAGAGACACCTCTAAGCACACACAGATACAGATACAGATACAAGCAGAACTTGTGCAAAACTCAATTCGGTTTGGACACCGTTTGATAGTAGCACAGACAAAAGGCAGGCGGCGGCAGGCGGCACGGGCAGAGGCCAGCAGATAACAGATAACAAAGCCATATACCATATATAAACATATGTACATATATTGTATATATCTGTAGCCGTATCTATAACTTTAGCTGTATCTCTATCTGTAGCTGTCGCTGTAGCTGTAGCTGTATCTATACAACTGCACACACATATTGTATCTATTCCGTGGCAATGCAAACAAGGGCTACACCAACAAAAACAGGCACAGGCACTCGCCGATGGCCGATGGCCGCTGGCCAGGCCAGACCAGCCAAGAGATGGCGTAAGCATAAGCCATGGTCAAACGCACGTGGGGGTCGTGGAAAGGGCGTAGCAGATGGAGTACAGAGTCATTAGACATGGACGACAGCCGCGTCACGACACTGGCCAAAGTCGATTAGGGCCCAAAAGGACGAAACACAACTAAAAAAAAAAATAGCAGAAGAACAAAATGCTATTTGCATTCTAGAAATAACAACAATAACAAAAATTGTCTTCGTGGATCAATAACCTGTTGCTGTTGCAAGACAAAAAGAGTGGGAGGAAGGTGGGAGGTACGCATGGTATTTTTTATGTATTCGCCTATGAATTATGTTTATAAAGAAAAGGCGAGGGAGAAATAGAAGATAAGGAGAGGCAACCGAAAGGAGAAATAGAGAGCATAAAGAGAACATTAAACTTTGTCCCACATACGCATGTACTAGCAGAAGATTAAGAGCCACAGATTGCCAGGGAATTAGATATACACTGTGTACCAAATATGCATCTTTATCTGCAAAAGAGATTCTTAAGAGATAGCGGTATCACTTTATAGACACCATAAGCATTCCCCCCCATTAAGAGATGATAGCCATATCTCGCTCTATAAAAATTTCAGAAGAGAAAACGTTGGCCGTCCTTTTGTTGCTCTTTTCGTTAAACAAAATTTAAATAAAATAAATAAATAAATGCTGATTATCACATTTGTGGGGCGCGTGCATTCAATTATATTATCAACAAAAAGCAAGAGGGAAGTGAGAGACGAGAATCTGGGGAATAGTGTGAACGAGGAGGGGAATAAGGAGTGATAGGGTTGCACCCCCCACGCACTTGATGAACCCCACAAATCTCACACACGTTTTTGTTGGGATAACACTCTTATCTAAGAAGAGCAGCACCTGCAACAGCTGTGGACTTTAACTCCACGTAATACACATTTATCTGTTGTTGGATAATACACGTATTTGAGCAATTTTAAACCTGAAGTTAAATGCATTAAAGATAAGTTTAATAGACTTTTAGATAGATACCCTCTGAAGGATGGGCGAGTATTAAAAGTCATTGTAGAAAACATAAGAACATTAAGAAGAAATATTGCAATATTATTTAGCAAATTTGCATAAAGACCACAGAACATTTTTAAAAGAAAACTATATATTTCCCCTATGAAGCATACACCCAGACCTATCGACATGACTTCTTTTCGTATATGTTAGAGTCTGTAGATATGAATTATCTTAAGAAAAGACACACTTCGAATGAATATTCATTGAAATATTTTCTAGTTTTTAGACAGACACTGAAACTTGGGATGTTAAATAAATGCAGAGAATTTCACATAGTTTTCTAGTACCTTCAACGGCAAAAAGATACGGACAACATTTAACATGCAAATTTAAGTACAATAATTTCGCAGTAATTTTCAGAGAAGAGGGTGGGGAAGGTTGCCCCCCGCAAAAGAACCGTAGGGCCATTAAAAGCAAGCGTGCTACTCATTCAATGGCCCAATGGCATTGGCCAGGCAGGCGGCTAACGGGCCACTGCTGCTTTCGACAGTTAACTATCAAACGGAATTATATATCTACACATACAAGTCAGTATTCGTATTCATGTGTGTGTGTGTTTCTGTGTGCATTGTGGCTCTGTTTTATTGCTGGCATTCAATATTTTAATATAGACAACCATTACATACAAATATATATAGACACGATAACTACAGCATGTGTATATTGAGATATCTAGATGTATGCATATTGTAACTACGCGTTTTCATGCACACAATGGAATGGTTTCAAGGTCAGCAAGGGAGAGGGAAGGAGCAAAAAAGTTATCCAAATGGCAGCCCATAAACGACTCTCACTTGTCTGGCGGCGGCAAAAGGCGACATATTCTGTGGGAGAATATTACATAAACATAAGATATTCAAATACAACAACTATTGCTACTATTAT